AGTGCTCTTACCTCTACAGAGTCACCAGAAGATGGGTACTTCCTCCCCTAGCAGTGTTGCTGTGTGAGAAGCCAAAAAAAATTATTGTAAAGTTTGCTTCTTGCCCACTGCTAAAGCAAAACAGCCCCTAGTTCTTCCTGACTTTGTGTTATCTTTCAACCCATCTTTTCTGCCGATAAAGATGTATTGCTATATACCTATATGCTGCCAAGTTGTAGAAGATAATTTTAGGTAGACCTTCATGAGGCTTAGGTAGGCTGCAGTCTCTTTTATAGTATTACTGCTTTCTAAAGCATCAAGTGTGGGTTTTGAGTACAGCAATGTTGCACTGTAACCCAAATTTAATTAATATGATGTCACTTATTTTGGTAGTTTGAACAAAAGATAACAAAACCCAAGGAACCACCGAAAGCCAGTATTAAACAGAAATGTTCAAGGTAAGTGCTCTGCTGTTTAAAACTAAGTTGAATCAATTTGAGAACAAAACAGATTTCTCTAGGATTGGTTTTCATGCCTGTTTAAGAAGTGCTAAAATACTACAAATACTTTGGAAATTTATTCTTGCCCTTTGCCTCTGATGAACTAAAAAGTCTAGTAAAATATGTTATGGTCCAATTATAAAAGTAAAGGGAGATATAGAGCTAGATTTATAACATGAGCACAGGAGGGCATTAATTGGTATTGATGAATAAATTATTGGCAGATCTCTAGTGCGCATACAGTTCTTTAAAAGCAGCATTTTTAGTTTGGTCACAGGAAACTTCAGATCTACAGCATATGAGTTGATGCATTTTCCACACCTCTGTATAGGGGGATAAATAGTCCATTACACCATTGACTTCTTGGCAATTTGAACCAATAGTTTTTGAATATAAATTGTTGCAGTCATCTTCAAGTCTTTACACCTGAAACCTTTATACCTGAAATCTATGGGCAAGGAAGTAACATATTGGTTGGGGAAAGTGTGATTTGGATGTTGTGTGCACAACTTGTTTGTTTACTTTTCCTCTGCATGTATGTCTTTCATTTGTGCTAAGAGACTTAACAATTGGAATGCTAAAAGAAATGGGTGTTTGTTACGCTGCTTAATGGATTGAGTGTCTTAAATACACGCAGTGAAAATCAAGTCTGTCTAGATTAGAATATCACCTCTATTTTCAATCTATTTCCAAACTCTGAGATTGCAAGCATTGTTCTATTCCTTCCCCTTGCTAGAGGGAAGAAACTCATCAAGATTTTCAGCTAGGTGGGAGAGGTATCCCTGTGTGGCATAAATTCAACATCACTGTTCCATGGCATTTACTATCTAACCAACTTTGTGTGAATGTTTAGAAAGCATAAACAAAAACTGCATATAGTGGTGCTATTTCAGTTTTTGATGCATGTACCTTTGACATAACTGAGTTCACACTTTTTGGTCAAGTAAGGTTATAAATAATAAGGAATCATGCTGAGAGGATAAACAAAATTCATTTTTAAAAGTTAAGAAAATCCAAATGTTAATATGTTGTTTAAAATGCTGAGTTACAAATTAAGAAAAAAAAAAAAGAGACAGTATGTCAATTAATCCTAATTCAGATATAATTAATGGGAGTAAAAATTAATGCATCTTGGGGATATTCTTATGCTTATACTTACACACTTCATTTTTATGAAACTTTTATGAAATATTGTGGTCTCTTAACTTCTAAATGAAAACCAGCTTTATCATATTTGTACTTTTCAGCATAATATTTTATAGTAGAATGGAGTTTATAGCTATTGTAAAACATGGAAAATAACCACTGAGATGTGCCTAATTCCTTCTGCAACTTAACTAATGTTAGGCTCACCACTAAATTGCTTTTTTCAGTCTTAGGAAGTTAAAAATGAAACAAGAAAAAAAATTACGAAGAAAACGTGCACGAGAAGAGGCGCAGAATTCTGCTAAAAAGAAAACGGAAGAAAACCAGGTGGTAAACAAACCATCTCAATACAGTGATTACAGCGGTACGTGGAAGTGTAGGTTGTTGTTCTAAGTTATCATGAGGTAGCATAAAGAACATTCTGAATGTCCTAAGTGAAACTATAGCAGAGTACTAATATTGAACATAATCCATCCCTTAAAGACTTGCAGTTTTACTTAAGATTACTTTTATTTCAGATCTGTTTTTAATTTATAAATAACTGTAAGATGATAGTACATGCTTGAGTTCCTTGTAGAAAACCTTTGTTCTTGCTTCATGAAGAAGCAGCCTGAAGAAGGCAAAGGCTCAAATTCCAAGTTAATCTATTAAAAAGTAATTTCAGAAAAAGCTTTATGCCCACAAATTATAACACTGCTACAGAACAAAAATAACTGCTTTTCAGATAAAGAATGAATGATATTCTAACTGCAGTGACTTGAAATGTGTATTTCGGAGCATTGGGGAAAAGAAGACTTCAGCCTTTATGTGAACTTCCACTGTATTTTGTATTAGGGCAAGCTACAGTGCAAAACCAAAAATTGGTGTTCTTTAAAAACTATTTTTGTCTGTCTTGTTACCTTTAAAATAGGGCTGACATTAATTTCATATTAAATACTTTGCAAGTGCTTTTTCATCCCATACATGCCAAACTCAGAGTTCTTCAGGACCTTGTTGCCTGTTCAATGGCATATCCTCACACTTTTTCTATAGAAAAACACTCTCAGATGCTAATCTTCTTAATTTGGTGGTTTGTTTTTTTTTCTTAACCATTTTATTTGAGAGTGGTCCCTTCAATTAGCACCACAGACTACTATTTTTATTTCCATGTTGTTTTCTAAAATCACAGTCAGTTAACTTTGTGGGGTTGTTTTTGTTTTGTTTTGGTTTTTTTTGTTTGTTTTTTTTGTTTTTTTGTTTTTTTTTTTGAGCCTTGCTATCTCCTTTCCTATGACTTACCTTTAGTTCTAGTCCTTGGATCCACTGCAGGTCACTCACATGTATGTGACTTGATTGTCCCAAATGCCCTTAAAAGCTCTGAGAACTAAAATGCCTTTAGGGTGATGAAAACAGTCACCCTGCAGTACTGTGAGTAAAAGCTGAATCACTAATGCAAGAATATGTCAACATGGAGGAACTTTAATGCAGTTCTGCAAAAAGACCTCTGTGTTGGTGTTGGACAGCCTTTTTAATTAATTTGTCCCGAGCTCATTCCGTAATAAAATTGAAGTCTTGCATGTCTATAGAAAAACGCTACCTATTACCCTGTTTTTTTCACTTGGGGAGATTTCATGAGGCTATCTTTCAAAAGAGTATCTAATTTAATCTCCCAAGCTGTCTGAGAGGTTGAGACACTAATTTTGGGGAGAGATAGATTAGAAAGAGACTTTTTTTGTTTTGTTTTATTAGCAGCCATAGCTACCTTTAAATAAGAACAAATCTGTTGATAAATTGGAGAGAAGTGGAAGTGAGAAGAGCACTTGTGTATGTGCACGTTTGTAAGGTACAGAGGTTTTTAATGCAGACTCTTGCAGGATAAAACTCAGGCATGGCTTACACCCATAGAGGTGATTGAATCTGTTAGTATGCTTGGAACTGTTTGTGTTACAGTAGTTCATTATTCTGGGTGTAATAGGAAGTGCTTTGGTTTTAAAAAATTCTTTTCAGATCTAACTCTTTTGACTATGATTGCTATAGGTGAAGCTCTGAAAGTGGCGCTCTAGAAAAGTGTGGTCTTGAAGAATATGAAAGGTGAAGGCTGATAGGAGCCAGTAATCTTTTTTCACTCTTGTTCTACAAAGAGCCAGTGGCAGGGTCAGGGCAGAGGTTTGGTACTAGGTATATGCTCCGGCATTCAATTCAGAAGTGTGCCTTTGCTCTGAGAACTGATGCTTGGGGGAATTTTGTCTCTGCATCCAGGCTGGTGTGCAGCCCACGCAGATAAAACTGTGTAGACAATTCCTTGTAGCTACTACTACTGGCAGGTAATTTTTCTTTTTTTTTCCTTTCTAGCTAAGATGCTTGTTTGTTTGTGTAAACCAAATTTAAACATTGTTGTGTCAAGTTCATAATGCTAAGGCTAGTTTATATGGAAAGTTATGTAATCTGTAATTTTCAGTGCTGGGATCAAGCAAATAATTAAAAATGCCACTTAGACCAAATTATCTGTACTTTAAAGTTGATGTTTTTAATTGTGATAAACAAACATGAAATCTTGGTGTGGTTTTTTTGTTGTTTTTTTTTTTTTAAATCCCATTATAGGTTATGTTCAGGATTTATATGCTGGTGATCGAGTCCTGCAGCATATCAGTCAAAATGCTGAACGAATAAAAACAGCTGTTCATGATGCTTCCAGAGTATTAAAGGAATTACTTTCATGGTTTGTAATCAGTGAGGAGGATTACGTGTTATATTCCAAAACTAGTAGTATGTCACATGAAGTGATGGAGCAGCTCATCAGTTATTTAATTCAGGAAAAAAACAGAGTGAAAACGAGAGGTTTTATCCACGTGCTGAGTGAGCTGGAAGAAGTGGATCCCAAATTACGCAAATGGCTGAAACATCTTAACAACTTGGGTAGGCTGTATGCTTATGAAGACCTTACCCTTTAAAAGTTAACATCCCTATTTTCCAGTCTTGCTTTCTTAACTTTAAATGGTGAAGTAAAGCCTTCCTCTTTTTTGTTTACTCCATCCTTCCCCAAGATTTCTGGAGAATAAATTATTACCATTGGCAACACTGGAACAACTTCTCTTGTCTCTGCAAGTAAAGGATTCTAACATGGGCAGGACTTTGTCCATGTAGGAAAGAGAATTGAAGAGATTTATTTTTTTAGTGTCTTTAAATTCTAGAATATGCTTAAATTTTAATATTTTTGAAAATAATTTGGTTTTGGAAAGTAAATAATGGTGGGATCTTTGTCATAAAAGCTTAGCTGACTGCATAACTTGGAAGTAATTTAATTTGGTCCTCTTTGGTAGTGTTGTCTTGCTGTGTAGTTTCCTATTAAATTTATAATTGGATGAAGGTAGAAGTTTGTTTTTGCAGCCAAAATGGATGTAAGATACCAAAACCTTTGAGATTTAGATTCTTGATTCTATTCTGTTGTGTCCATTCCTTTAAGGAATTCATATAGATTTATTGTACAAATAATAACTAGGTGTTGACATAGAGTAAAATTTATATAAACTCCATTTATCATTTTTGTTTGCATTTTCAGGATATAAAAGGTTTTACATAATCTGTTTCAGCTACTGTATATTTAATTACTAAAACAAACTGTTCCTGTTTGAAGAGGAATATCACACTGTAAGCACTGAAATTCCAAAGCTGGAATGAAATATTGGGTTTTTTCATCTCTTTTAGGTCTGACAGCTACAAAGAACTTTCTCCTTCAATATGGGCAATTATTAAAAGAGTTTGACCTTTCTATTTTAACCACACTCTGGAATGAGAAGTATGGTAGTAAATTTGACTATGTGACAACTAGTTCTGAAGACAAAGAAATTCGTGATTATTTCTTAAAACCACCCCTAGAGAAAACCCGCTGTTTTATATGGCTGTTAGAAGACAACAGAGAAAATTTTCCATTTCTTCATCAAGCTTTAGATGAATTCTTTGATAAAATGGGTAAGTATGCAAAGGTCATCGTTCTTATAAGCATTGTATTTTGTCTGTTTTTTACACCACATTTGATGGGCTCTGTAAAAGGCTGAAACTTCAGTGAACTACTAACTTTCTCATTATGTGGGATCCTGTGTTCAGTGCTTAAAAGGCAATATGGCCTCAAAAGGCAAGCCACCTTTTTTTTTAGGTTGCATTCTGCTGTTTTTTTTCATGTGCCACAACCAGCACATGAGTTTATCTTTATGCATATATGATGTCCAACCAAAATAAGTATTTATCTTTCAGTTTAAGCATAAAGATTCTGTATCTACAGTCTTTGAGAGACTTTGGGGGTATTAGATAAAGGATTATAATAATTATTACTATAATGTCATAGCTTACAACTCTAAGTTACATAAAATTTTACTATTTCTTTTTATGATTGACTTTGTTTTCCTTTCACTAGATGACCCTACCATTATATTAAAGAAGCAGGGAAATGAAAATACATTGGTAAGTGAACTTAATGTCTATTTGGTTTAAGCTCAGAAACAGGTATGAGTGTGGTGTTTTAAAAATGTGCAAAAATAAATAGAGGTGTGCATCTCTTGGTTTATTTTACATCATCATCCTTCAGACCTGATTAGAGATTTACTCTTTTGTTTTATCTTCTCCTTCACCTCTCCTTAAAGTATTTGAAGACTGCATAATATTTTTCCTAAACTTCTGTGAGATTCTTGTTTAGGGTTTTCTCTTTAGTTAAAACACAAACCAACAAGATACATTTTAGATTATGAGTATTTCAAGGATGCAAATGAAGAAGTTGTAGTGAAAGCAGTGAGAATACACTGATGTGCTGTATCATCCCCTTTGGATAGGGGAAAAAAGGCAGATAAGGTGCACAGGAATAGCATTTACCTATTACTTGGTAACAGGAGTTTGGTGTTAACTTTTAAAAACAGTATCTTTGTAAGTATCATTGAGGAATTAAAAAAAAAAATGCATGATTTCCAAAGAGAGACTTTTACTAGCTGCTGTATCTGCATATTTACCATGACAACTGAACTTGAAGTGTGATCCTTCCCTGAGCATGCTTAACTTGAATCTGCATAATTTTGGACACTAGTTGTACTGCACATTTTACAGTCCAAAGCAACAAATGGGAAGATGGCATCACCCAGCTTTACCTTCAGATGTCATTAAATTGCAAGGCTATGAATTTGACATTTGCTCTGCTAATAAGCTAAGTAAATTTGAAGTGAGTTAGACATATTTTTGCATTTGTTCATTAGAATGTATAGATGCTTTTTGGATTCAACCCCAGTCTTAAACTGTACAGCATTCTGAATAACTTTTTGATTAGTATCTTAATTAAAATCCATTATAATTGACAGACGTATATTATGTACTTAAATTAGTTATGTTTGGGGCATTCTCATTTAAAATTGCAGATAAGTTTATCTGTACAAAACCAAGAGTTACTTTTGATACAGAATAAATCTTTAGAGTTAATTGGTGAATATACATCTTAATAAGATGTGAAATCCTTTGCTTTTTCATTTTATGAATTGGAAATCCAAGAATGAAATGAAAGCCATTACAATAAAATGGCTTCTTTCAGTGTTACTTACATCCTAAAATAAATTGTTAGTAAGTTACTGTTGGTAGAGTTATGTTAATATATAACTACAGTCCTATATAAAAAGTGAAGATGCATTTTAGTTCCTTCATCATTGTATGTTTTAGAAAGTTGAAGTGACCAGAACATTTGACAGTTCTGTTTGCTTCTTGTTCCCCAAATGAAACTGTGTTGTGTGGGATGTCACAGCTGTTTAAATACGCAATTTCAGCTATAGGTAATGAGTAAGCATCTGAAATTCTAAAATGATAGAATATTCGGGTTTTGAAAAATCCATGTTCTGTGCATTTAAAGAGGAAAATGATGAAAAGGAACAAAATGGTTAAAGTCTTAAAGCTGTTTCTTTTTTGGTTTTCCAGCTGGGGATGGAGTGGAGAGGGGGAAGATTGCATGCTTAACCTTGTAATTCTTTCTGGTGAAACCAGAACGAGAATTTTAATGTGAAACTTTTAAAAATTTACATACTGGTTTTGCAAATGCATCAGTATTTTATTTTCATGAAAAAAAAAATGGTGCCTTTATTTTTTTCTATTTCAGACTAATGGTATCAAAGTTAAAAATAAAAACAGGAAGAAGAACTCAAAAGACTTAAGGGTCAGTAACTTTTTAGCTGCTTCCTAAAAACAGGTTTTTTAGAATTGCTGACATTCAGTTGTATGGAGGCTGTTTTCCTAACTACCTTGTGGAGACTCATTCTTGAAGTAGTTTTTCTTGAAGTAAAATAATGCTGTTAAGAGTCAATTAATACAGGGGTTTTTTTTGTTAAAATATGAATTTGACAGTATAAAAGGTATTTCTAAACTTGAAAAAAAGGCTATTCATAAATAACTTTGGCTCTTGCTGGATACCAATACGCTTAGTCTATCCCCTGTCTTAATTCTGAATGACTCTTTTGATCTTAATTTCCCATATGGGAAAATGAAGAGAGACACCTGTGAAAACAGTGCACTGACTGTACTATGTAATTAATACTTTATGCTCCGTTTTGTTTTGCACTGACAAATAGCACATTTGGAAAAGGACACTTTACCGGTCATTTTGAGAAAGAAAAATGTGTCATTACACTTCATGAAGTAGGTCTGAAATTATTTCTGTGTATTCTAAATTTTTATGGGCGTATCAGTGATTGAAGGTGCAAGAGTTCCATTTATTCCTCAGAAAAATGTTATTAGTTGTTCAATGTTTTATGGATTTTGCTAAGAATAATATCCTACCTGAAACTTACACTGTCTTTTGTCCTGCTTTTCTAGCGTTTTGCTTTATTGAAATCTTCAGATACAGTTGTCTTTGTTTCCTCCATGCTCCCACCTTTTTATGATTTTACTAGAATTTTGAGAGTAAACTTTAAGATTTTATTATTTTTTTTTCCTCATCAGTCAGGTTTTTCTGACTCGGGTGCATTTATACAAGTCTGTGTATTTCTAAAGTTATCAGATAATAAAAATTTTAAAGACAACTAAAACATTTGCAATGGTGAACGTTAGAATACAGGTGTCATATTAAAATTATGTGGAACTAGGGATAACTCAGACTTACTTTGTATTACAATTATTAAAGCTTGAAGGCTCTCCAATGTAAAGGAAGAAATTCCTTGAAAGTCAGTTGATGTGCAGCCCAGTGGAAAGAAGTTATACAAAATTTTTAACAAAGTGAAGCTATAGTCTTGGTTTACTTTCATGCAAGCTCAGTGAAACATCAGGCACATCTAGAATTTTGATGAAATTGGTAAAAAAAGAGGGAAGTTAGGCTGAATATCCCAATATATTTTTCTAAAATAAGTTCTGAAGAAGAAATTAATAATTTTAAGTTAAGAACTTTCTCAATGTGGCTTAGTACTGATAATTGTACTTGAACATTTTGCAGTTCTTAATATAGCATCTGAACATGGTAAAGTTACAGATCAAGGTTCAATGTAAATAAGCTACTCATAGACTTTATAGTGGATCATTTTGCATATACTTTTGTGAGATAAAATTAATGATCTGTTTTTAATTAGTCTATTTTAGTATTATCCAGTGGAGTTAGCACAGCACCACGAGAAGAAGATAAGATATTTATAGAAGAAAATACTTTGTAAGTACCATCATGCATCTTTGCTTTCATTGTCCAAACTCAAAAGTGCTTTTCAGGTACTGGAGAAGAGAAAGTCTTCAAAACAGCAAGTCTGGATTGACTTCTAGGTGGTTTTGGTCTGAGCTTGTTGTTAAAGGAATTTAATTCAATTGGTGGGTAACTCTAGGTTTGCTTTATTTACAACGCAGAGTTGGGCCATCACCCCAGTGAGTGGCAAAGGCATTGCAAAAGTCAGGCTCTATATATATATGCCAAATTTAACATTATACAATAGGTTTTCTTCTCAAAGTTCTTGGTGTTTTCCCACAAACCCTCAGTTCCAAATTTCTCATTAATTTAAGATTCTATAAAAGTCCACAGTGATTCTTCAAATGCAGCTGATTCTTCTTGTCTCATCTCAGTGCCTCTTCAGAAGTTGCAGCTGCTGGTCCCATTCTGGTCACTGTATTCACTTATCTTCTTGAATAATCTTTCACCTTTGCACTTCTAATAAAAACTGACATCATGACATTTAACTTATGTCTATTTTCAAATATGTAATCTTTCACAATTCACTTACTCCGAGTTAATCACTTATTCTCCTTAATTGCTGTGTCTCTAAATTCTGTTATTCTTGTTGATTCAGCTGGATTGGGTTTAAACCAACCATGGAGAAGGCGAGACAAGGGACAAAGTGAGAAGCAGCATGGTTGCATGGTTTATAAGAATTATTATTCTATTATTTCATAGCACCTGTTTCTAATTTTTCATCTTAACCATAATACTTCTATTAATCAATATCATTTTACCTATAAGCGTCCTCTTAGAGAGTCTTTCCCTTTTACACTTGTACATAGCCATTACTTCTCTGCTTCCAGGACAGGTGTACGGAGTATTAGAATTTTAAAGATCTTAACAATGTAGAAGTCACCAAATGGTTGCCAGGCTGCAAGCCAATACATCTTCTAGGCCAAAAGCTATTCTTTCAAGTAAGGTCTTACTTGTTTCATGTTCCACTTTAATGTGGCAAGAAATTAATTGATAAATTTGTACATACTCCATTGGTCACAGCAGAATTTTGCCATCCACGCCATACCAAGCAGGTTGTGATGTTGAATTGAGATAATCTGTGGTGCATAGCTTAGAATTTGCGTGTTAATCAGGAGTCAAACTCTTGTATTCTGAGCCTGGTTTTGCTCTTGCTTATAGACGTGAAAGCTGGTAGGCAAGACCTTAGTCATTATTATTATTATTAGTTAGTGGCTGATCAGTGAATAAGTTTAGCAGTTAATTATTTTGGGGATAGTGTTTATTCTGTTTGTTAGAAAAGTTTGCTATTGGAGTATATTTTTAGCACTATGCAGTTACCATATAGTAACTGTTTTCAGGATATGTGAAAAATACAGTTATATTCAGAGAAAAGAATTATTGTTCATATGCAGTATTTATTTCTTTCTTCTCTTTCTCTTTACTTTTTTTTTTTCTTTTAACGCTACAGAGATTCTAATGAACCATTTGTAATCCCAGAATATCTTCGGGGGCAACTAGAGGAATTTGAAGCTCTCTATGACGTTTCAAATAGTAACAATTATCAAAGATGCCTGTATAATAATGATCAAACTTGTGAAAGTTTATATGAGTATGTATACATTTCTGTGCTTAGCAGTTTAAAGGGTTCAATATTACTTCATAGTTTTTATAACATAGTGTATTAAGTCCAGAATTTGAGTCCTAGTGATCTAGTATGTGTAGGTATGTTCATAAAGGTATATACTAATGCTTTGAAATAGTTATGTTTTTAGCAAAATGTGGATAAGCAAGAGGATTACAGAAAATTTTTATGCTTGGCTAGAACACCATCTTCCAAATGATTGTTCTTCAGTAGGTCTAGAGGTTCTTTGCTTTTAAGTATTATTGTGAAAATATAATGTGTGAAATATGATTTTAAAGTTACATGAAAAAACTTTGTTTAATAATGACAACTGGTTGATTGGTTTGTTTTTTTTAAAGATATTTCTCTCAAATCTTGGAAGAACATGGCCCTATGGAAATTGATAATAAATTACTAGTTGGGGAATATGAACATTTCCCCGAGGAAGCTCAAAAGATTGTAGAAGATGAAGGTGGTCTGAAATCTTTTCTTCTGAAATCCCTTAATTTCATTATGGTGGATAATCTTATTGGCTTAAGAAAGCATGCAGTTTTTCTTAAAGAAAATACAAACAGAAATGAGACTGGAGATGAAAATGATGTAGTCTGTGATATACAAGAAGGTCCTTTCCAGAAGAATCTACAGTTAAATCCAGCCGCTAAGGAATTCAAACCTCTGTCTTATTGTAAGAAGCCCCATATATCAACATCTACTGACTTAACAGTAGCAAGTTATGAGACTCAACAATATTTGCCCTGGTCTTTTCCTACTTCATGTGAATCGGTGCGTTCTTTGCATAGTCAGAATATTGCTACCATAGAAAATGAGGCATCATTTTCAGATATTTTACTTAAATGCTTTGATTCTAAAAATCCTCATATATTTTTGCCTCGGCCTTCCTGGGGTTATGGATATGGAAGAATATTGCCAGTGCCTTCTCAAATGCCTCTAATGTCAAATGTTGCCAAGCAACCTAGTTACGTTTATGCTGATTATGTAGCTCATCAGGATAATGACAAATCAGCAATTTCAAACAGAAAACACAGCAGTTTTATACCAGCTGAAATACAAACATATGAAGACCCTCAGTGCCAACTGGAGAACTCGGGGAACACATTTTATCAAGACAATTTTGCTGTTGCAAATAGTACAAATGAAGCTGACTGTGGTATAAAGGTTATTAAGATGGAAAAAGAAAGCAGAGGTATACCTCTAATGAAGAACAATCCTTATACGAGGATGATAGCTGTTCAGGTAAGAAATTGAAATGTAACAGTTATTTGGGTGCTTTGAGTGATAAATGATAGTGTTGAGCAACTCCTTTTTGAATGATTTCTTTGACTTCCCAAAGGGTCAGATGTTTCAAGAGCAGTTATTCAAGTAATGCTTTCACCCATCCAAATGTAAAGGATCTACTTAAGTAGCATTTACCATTCTCTAGTACTTGGCTCCCCAAAAAAGGCTACAAGTTGAAAGATACTGAGGTGTTTATCAGACTGGGAACTTCCTTAGGACTTGCAGTTTGTTACTGATGTTTTCTACAGCTACTCTTGTTTTCAGTTTGTAATTCTTTAAAATGGTCCCTGAATTTTGTTCTGCCTGAAATTTTCACAGGTCTTTTGACCTAGGATCGAAGAAGGGAATTGGTGCACAGCAGTTTAAACTTCATTTTAGAGGTTAAGGAAAGTCCTTCTGTGTCATCATTTTTCTTCTGTAATCAGTTCAGTGGTTTGTTTTAATTTTCACAGTATTTGAGGATTTAGATAGTTTGTACCTTCTAACAATTGCTGGCTGATGGACCTCATGGTCTTACAGTGGCAGCTGTAAGGTAGGTTCAGGGCAAACTCTCTCACATTTTCCTTTTCCCTGCTAAACTAACAGAAACCTGAAAGTTCTGTACTGCAGGCAGAGAAAGCATTGCTGGACACCCAGAAAAGGGCAGGACATGCAGCTGAACAGAAGAGGGGCTGGAACATTCACTCTTTAATGGTTCCCCAGAGTTAGATCAGCATACACATAGGGAGACAATGGTCACATCCTCATTTTTTACAGAAAACATTTTGGATTACGATGCCAGGATTTCAGAGTTATGGATATGGCAGTTCTGCAAATCCCTTTGAGAGATTATCCAATGTGCTAGAGGGACTCCCATGGAGGAGTTACACATCTTCATTTGTTTCTTGTCATTAAGGAAGGAATAGCTGTTTATAGCTGTAAGATAAACAGTCATCTTTTTATTATTGCTTTCTAAATTAGGAAAATGTTAACATGTTTTTTTCAAACTTGGTTTGTGTACAAAACTTTTCTTCACTTTAAATATTTCCTGAGCAGTTGCTGACAGTTAGTTTGCCATCAGTCTTGGCAGATGAACTTCATCACTTGGTTGACTAGGCTTTTAAAATGGGTTCTGTTTGGTTCTTGAACACATGCAACAAAGAGATAACAGAAGATACAGCAGTTCTTAATTTAGTGAATTCTGGTCAGCAGAGATCAAAAGAGCGCTAGGCAACAGATATGTTTCTGTTTAGAGCAAGGCATTTAACATTATCTGACTATGATTTTTAATGGCTTATTAGAAAGGCAGCATCATAAACTGGATCTTTAATATGTTGCATGGTTAGATTTTAAACCTCAGTTCTTCTAGTGAGCCCTTGATGGGTAGTATTAGAGGAAAACAAGCAAGAACTCTGAAGGTCCTCGAGTCCAGTCCCTTCTAAGTAGAGGCACTTACGTAGTAGATCTTGAGTTTAGGAGGAGCCACAAAACACAGCTCCTCAGTGAGCTGTCAGACACTGTTTCTGCAAGTCTAAAGTTTTTAGACATTTAGAGCACAGCTGTGTTTAAAGACTCTCAGAACTGTTCTCAATATAAATGCTGCACGGTCATTTAAACTAGCGAAAGATGATAACAGAAAAAGCACTTTCATTATAGATTGAAGTCCATTTCAGAAACACTTGCATAATTTCTTTTTACATTGTAGATAGACCTACTTCATAATGTAGTTGGATTTGTAAAATTGTAGGTTAGGTACAAAAGCTCCAAAACAGAGGTGACCTACTAGTTGCATATATAAACTGGAGAGCTTTTTAATCAACTAATGTTTCTTTGTATTCTAGGTACATTGTGAAGTAGCTGATAGGGAAACTAATACCTTGCCTTTTCATCCATTTGAAATGCAACAAGTAAGTTAACTGCGTATTTGTTTGTTTCTCATGAAGGAATGCCTGAAAACTTAGTAGTGAAAAGATGAAGGTTCTCTGAAAATTACATATTTTAACAGATTTTTTTTTTATTTTGGTTTGTTTTGTGGTGTGTCTGTGGCTTGTGTGGTTTGGGGTTTTGGGGGGTTTTTTTGGGGGTGGGATTCCCCACCGCCCCATTCATGTTGGTCTGCATTGTATTCTGTTATGTTTTTCTTTGAAAACTTCACATAGGCACACAACAAGGAGGTTTTAGAGCTTTGTTCTGTAGCTATTCAAATGTTGGAGTATGTTGTAGGGAAGTTTAGTATTTCTTCTGCAAAAATCTTGAGGTTTGATATAAATACTCCATTTGGTCATATAGACAGCCGAGATTGAGGTTAATGGTAGTCTTATGTCTGTACAAGGAGATAAAAGTGAGAAAATGTGGCCTTTGAACTCGTCCTGTTCCATTCATGGTCAGACATGTGTGTTCATTTCCTGTGCTGGATTGAAGCTGTTATACAACTTTCTCTTGAACAACCCCCCCAAAATCAACAAACAAAAAACCCCATCCCAACCACACTCAAGATTTTGAATCTCAACTGACAGCAGGCTGTTCCTTTTAGATGTCATCAATGTTTGCTGCCCTGTGGTAATAGATATTAGATCGGTTTTTATAACATTTCTTTTCAGGGAGATATGCTACGTATGGAAAAAGAGCATCAGGTGTTAAAAGAACAACTTAAAGAAGCACAGGAAAAATATGAACAGTTACAAAGCCGAAGCTCGGAGGAAATCGGTGCTTTAAAAGAGCTCCTAAAAAAAAGTGTTGAGGAGACTGAGGTAATGTCTTTATCCGTACAACAGTGGGACAAACTGCAGTGGCTCACAAGATTGGTTGTAATTGATCAACAGTATTTTTGAAACTTGACTAGTAGTCCTCATTGCTGTGAAGTCTCACTCAGCAAACCTCACAATCTTTGTGTGTCATCTTCCTTTGAATGCACTTAAACACATCGGATATTGGTTGCCTCCATCTAGTGGATAGGTATTGGGTTTGGTTCAACCCACTGCTGAATTTTTCCTTCTTGATTTGTTGGGTTTGCTAACAAGCTTTATTTCCTTGAAAATGTCTGGGAGTAAGAGTAGTCCCCAGACAATACTATCAGCCTGTTATCACTGACTGGGTTAATTTTATAGTTAAAGCTGTAGATGCTACAGGCTGCCTATTTGTCTAAATTAAAAAGAATTTTTTTCATTAAAAAAAAAAACCACCAAAAAACACCTCAGATTGAGACCAAAGCCATCTCTCCCCATGCCCTCTCTTTAATCTTTAGTAAGATGGGGCCTGTCATTCCATTTGAGTTCAATGTATTTTTTTTCCTTTGAATGGTGTGTTGGACTAAACTCACGTACTGCAGCTTGGGAGCTCCGGAGTTTGAGCTTTACCATGGGCTGTTTGTATACGGGATGATGGAGTCTCACATCTGTTTTTCTGTAGGAATACCTGGAAAAAATCTGAGCTCCAAAAGTTTTGAGCTGAAAGGAAGGCTCTATGTAAGGTGGATGAACTTGTCCACAAGCATATTGTAGGCAGTTTTTAAAAAAATATTTTTTTATATTTCCCAATGATGCATTGATGCTACTTTTTTTTTTTTTTTTTTAAGCAGTTATGGCAGCTGTAAGACCTTGTTCTGTAACTAATTGTAACTTCCTAGTTGTTAGTACTGATACAACCATATGAGTACTGATTTTGAGCTGGATTTTGAGTTGGATTTCAGTATGTATTTGTACATGATGCTGGGGAACCGGGTTTCTTCTTTTAGTTGACTGCCAAACAGGGTTGCAAGTATTCTGAAGCCAACCATGTAAATGAGGTGTGCAGATCTTTGCAGGAAAGCATTTACAAGTATGTTGCCCATGCTAAACACCTGAGCTAACAGTAAATTAAGCACTAGTAAAACTCTGTTATTGTAATTTTCACTGGCTTAGCTTTTCATCATAAGTGTCAACAATCTACTCTAACTTGCATTTGAATAAAATAATATTTTTTCAGAAATAATGTTTCCTTATTTTCTGCTTTTAGGTATCAAAGAATGAACTGGATTGGTTTCATCAAGACTTAGAAATACAAGTGAAAAAATGGCAACAGGAGAAAAAAGAAAATCAAGAGAACTTAAAAGCACTCAGGAACACAGCTAAAAAGCATACAGATACTAATGAGAGGTACTAATTTTAAATACAGATTTACATTACTCTCCTTTTGCTTTATTTTTTTTTTTTTTTAAAGCAGCAGTAGTAAGTACATTTATTTCTGATGGACTGTGATTCAGTAGCTATTGATTCAGTGATGAACGTAGAATGAAAACTCAAATTTGTTGCCCTGATAATGTCATTCTGAAATGAGTTAAATGCAGTTTTTGGATTAGAGCTGCTGTTAATGGGATCTACATAAAACTTAATTTAACCTAATTAACAAATACTGCTCCGTCACTATTTAAGATAGTCTTATGTTTTCCAGAATCCTTTACATCTGTGCTGCTTTTTCACTTTTCTCCTTCATGACTTACCATTGCTTCCTCAACATTATAATTAGCTTTAAATTTTCATTTCCACTTTCATTCTTCCTTCTTCTATTGCACAATCAACCCAGCTGAACTCTGGTCTGCATCTGTTTTTCTTACATGCTTTTTGTCTGTTCTGCCACAGCCTATCTGAGGATCGTCCAAGGGTGCATGTTTCCTTCTTTTCTAGCCCTGTCACTCATTTCTCAGATTCAAGTAAAACTACAAGAACCACATAACTGCATGTATCTATTGTGGGGTTTTGGGGTTTTTTTTACCCATCATTCACCCTAAAACAGAAATCTGCAGGGATTTCCATGGAACTTAAATCAGTAATACCAATGTATGAATTCCCATCGTGACCCTGTGTGCAGCAAACCCAGCTTTCTGCTGGCAGTGAGCGTTCCTGGCTGTGGAGAAGCAAGAACCAGCTTCAGTCAAATCCTACCATGCTCAGCGAGCATCCATGAGATCATGTCACTGAAGTGCTGAAAAATAAATTGTGTGTCATTTGATGAAGTATTAGCAGTGGCTTTTCCTGAAACATTCTGAAGACTTAAGAAACCTTTAAGCAACCTAATCATGGGCTGTGTAACCAGATAGATGTTTTTTCACAGTAATGGGCTGAAATATGTACATGTCTGCTTTCATATTTTGATTTTTTTGTGAATTACAGGGAAACATTTAAAATAGCTTCTAGATAACTGATAAAACTGACTTACTTAGCAGTAATTTTTCTAATCAGATTTGACAATTTCTGTTCTATTTTTAATATGCTTTCTCAGTTTACAGACCTGAGAAGACTTCTGTCCTTGAATGCTGTTATATTATCTTTAGTCTGAGTAGTTTGGGCCAACTCTCTCATAAAAGCAGGCTGATGATTTCAAATTAGTTACTACTTAATTAGAAATACATTTAAATGTATTTATAGTATTAAAAGGATATAAAACATACAGATTGTCGCTGCTGCATAATTGTCGCTATGGTTATAGAGGAACGTGTCATGTATTTGCTAATGAACATTTTTCAGAACAAGCTTAATAAATGTCTGATTACTCTAGGTATTTGAAGACTATTGATGAGAAGGAAAAGCAGTATAATGTATCTCTAAATACATATCTCGAGATCAGGTAAACCTCTTCCGCCTTTCAGCAGTATTTATGTTTTCTACTAACTCGTCATTATTGGACTTGTCTGCTTCACTTTGGGTGAAGGCTTAGAAAGAATAAGCACTTTAACCTGCACCTCTTATTCTCAGTTCGTTTACTTTTACCTGTCACAAGTAAATATTATTTTCTTCTAGATATTTAAAATAACAAAAGTCTGGCTTTTCAAAATACTTTCATGCATTTCCCTTGGTTGTATAATACGGAGTTTTAGAACACACATTAGAAATTGTGTGTGGTACAAACATACTGAAATGTTGTATGTGGCTTTGGATCTTCACACCCTTATAGTTCTAAACGTACTAAACATTTTCTAGAAGTTACTCATTTGCACGTAGTATAAAGTCAAGGTTTCATTTGTAGATACATTCTTGATGTATGTGATCAGGCTCAGAACAGCAATGCTTGCATGAATGCAGTAGGCAAACTCCTGTAAGCATTTTAGGTTGCATAATGAAATGTTCAGAAATCCTAAGGTCATGGGCGTGGAGCCAGCAGTACAGCTACAACAGCACGATACTGTACCTGAAGGCAGAAGCTGTGCAATGGAAATGGAGATGTGTGGTTCCAAAGGAGAGAGAAGAAATAGCTGTAAAAAACCTCTAAAATGCCATAGATTTGAAATACTATGCTGTGGTAAATGTTACTCAAATATTTAACTTCTTTTGCTTTCACAGTAATAAACTTGCTAATGAGAAAGTAAAATCAGAAGAGCTTATAAAAAAGAGTCAACATGACTGCCAAGAGTGTGTGAAAAGAGCTGTTAAAGCAGAGGTACAACCAAAAAATCTTAAAATGCTTTTGCTAGAGCTTGGATCATTTGTGCTGATAGCTGGTGGGGAAAGATAACTGGTGAAGTCTTATCTAACAATTTATTTTTTAAAATAGCATCTAAAAATTTTCCTAAGCATAAATCAAAAGTGTTAATCAAATATTGACAAGTTTTCTTCATTATGTTATCCTACAAAACTTTGCAGATCACCCAAGGCGCACTGTTATTATTGACCAGTATTAAAAGTGCACAGAATTTGGGGCATATAGTATTGCCCCGAACAAAATTCAAATGGTAATTCAGTTTCAAACTACCCTTGTTATGAATATATTCCATTAGTAAGAATTAACTATAGGAACATAAAAAAAAAATCCTTGTTAAGTCACAGTTAGTGAATATATAGCTGCTTCTTTATCAAGTAGAATCAGAATGCAACAACTGACTTGTGTGTTTTACTGAAAGGAGGAGAGTACTGATAAATGTTAAGGTTTTTTTCTAAAACAGTATGTTTCATACTGGAAATGCTTTGAATATCATGAACAATTCTTCCTTCTTAAGAAGGACTTGAAGGCTGTCTTATCTGCAGTAGGATTTTATAAAAAGATTAAATTGTTGGTCCACATTAGCCTTCAACCATGCAATATTTAAACAGCTGCCTTAATCACTTAAAGTGTGTGTGTGTGTATATATATATATATATCCTATATAAAGGATAAGTTGCAAATGGAACATTTATGGAAGCTTTCTGCTATCAGCTGAAGTGAAAATAGCCTTTTTATCCTCCTGAAGGGGTGTGCCAGGGCTGTTAATTCCACTTGAAATTCCTCACCGTAGGAACTGTGTGTGGTACTCTGTATCATCAGACTGTTGTTTCAGGTGCTTATTAAAATCTATTTTGAGGCTTTATTCCTTGTGCTACAGCAGTGCTTTTACTGCACTTTTTTTTTTTTTTAACACAGTTATGTTTTGTTACAGATATCAGTACTCAAAAACTGGAAGGAAACTGAAGTATGCAAGCTAAATGGCCAAGCTGCCAATGCAGAAGCAAATCTCAAGGTGTTGAAGTCATTGAGCAGGTGTGGAGAGTTTACACCAGATATTTCAGTACTACTAGTTGCTAAATACAAGTAACTACTGGATGGTTAATCATGGGCATTTAACTAGACCAATCAGTTTTGCTCACAAAAGGATGCTAGCCTGAAAAGTGTGTAGAAACATAAGTTAAATGCAGCTTTCCTGAAGCAGAATTTCTTCTTAAGTCTTAAAGTCACCAAGACGTGTGATACTTAAGCAGGAACAAGCTTCTTGGCTTATTCTTTCTTAGCCGGGGAAGATTAGGCTACTGGGAACATTCCAGTTATTCATGCACATTATCACTGTGCTGCCATTCAGGGAGACCTGGACAGG